TTGTCCCTGCCACAGGGTACCCCGGCCGGGGGGGGGGGGGGGGGGCCCATTTCGTTTGTGTGAACTGATGTCAACAATGTGACATACACGTTTGTCATGCACCAAAATCCATGAATTCATTGCAGCAAAGGCTTGCACCTCACACCTCTGCGAGGCCAGCGTCGAACCTTGGCATATGTTTTTGCGATTACCACGCACTGTGCCACACACTCTGTCAAGTTCCACTCGCAAAATTCACTGAGTAAGGGCTTGTTACCAGTTATCAGTAATAACATATGCCCCTTACCAAGAATGGTTCCATCATTGTTTCGAACCACATCCACACCAGAGATACCCAATAACTTCATGGTATCTCTCATAGTATTAACTTCTGCCAGTTGTACACAATAATATTCGAAAACAAGACCACTTCTGCAATCACTAAACAGTACAAATAGCTGTTTTATTTATAAAATTAAAACCAAAGCGTTTCCACTGCGTTGGTATATATTGGCTGAATGAGAGTCTTCCTTTGAATAAAATCAAGGACTCATCAATAACAAGCTTCCTGAAAGGGATAAAAAATACATGCAGCACTTTGTTTCAGGTACATAAACACATTTCTAATCTTATATAACCTTACGCTTCTGTCAGGCCTGGTTTTTGTCTGAAAGTTGTAACATAGTCGCAACGTATCAGGAAACGATTGACACCTATAATGTCACTAAAACCTGGAGTTGAACTCAGGCGATCTGTTGTCCCGTATGTGGTGACAGTGTGCTTATACAACATGTGGCATAGCATTATTGTGGCAAAAAACAGGTACTCTCTGCCACAGTGTCTCCTTCCACTTGTTGGTAGGCCGTGATTTTGGTGAGAGAATTGTATTTGCCATGGTGTATTCACAGATGTTTTGGTTCCCCTGACAATGATTCCATCAGGGGTTCATCCGAAGAATAACTCAAAGCAGGTCCAGTTCACTGGCATTGTTCCCAAGTGGACAGATGGCCTTTATTCCACTTTGTGTTTCATCCCAAAGTCAAGGACTGGGACAAACCTCGTCACCGTCCTGCAATCCCAGAAGCGGTCCTGCTGGTGGGTCTGGATATGGGGGGGGGGGGGGGGGGGGGGGGGGGGGGGGGGGGGGGGGGGGGGGGGGTACCGTGGTTGTGGGCTGTGGTTGTGGTTGTGCATTGTGTGGGCAGTGGTGGCAGGTAGGGGTAGGGTGCAGGCTGGTTGTTCTCAGAGTGTCAGCCGCGTGGCTAGTATCGTGGCTCGGAGATGGCCACATTGGCCGTGCCACCACTCACTATCACCACCACTGCCTCCGCCCTCACTGTCACCATTCATACCCATCGTTTACAAATCGTCATCTTCACTATCAGGTCGTGTGTTGGGCCACGGGATGAGCTCCCAGAGTTTCTCCTCCCCTTGGAACAACATATGAAACACTACAGACCGCATGCTACGTCTTTACAAACAGCGCTTCACTTGGAATATTCACTCTCACTGTCACTAGAACCTTGCTTTCAATGACCTTGAAATCACTATCTCTATCACTTGCTATCATCAGTGTTGTACACAACCAAAAGTTTCCGCTTTCGTCCTGGTACAGGCGAACGTGAACGTGAACAAGCCGCCTAGCACGCAGAGGTCGAAGGTTGTGGGTCATCTGGTTTTTCGTCACTAATTACGTTATCCTGGGCACTTTTTTTTCGGTAAACACTCACTTGAAAAACCTTGAATTCACTGCCATTTGACACTTTCATCGCTGTTAGAGCTATCAATTGGGAACATAAGGGACCTCCAATCCGCCGAGGAGAGGAACTCTTACCGAGAGGCATGGTGAAAATGGACTGACAACATGGCATCCCACAATGCACCTCTAGGTCCCAATTTTTTTCACTAGGGTGCACACCGACCACTGAGACCCATTCTCTCCCGTTTAGGCTATCAGGCATTTGGCGCTCCGATATGAAGCCGCTAAAATTTTGTGCGTATAAATACGTCAGAAACATTGGCTCGTAAGAGCGTATTATACGTCGGAAAACAGTCCAAGGGTTAAGTTAAGCAACAAAAACATTATAATTTTTATTTTCTGTAAGATCGGAATGACTAAAAAAAGTCATTTGGCTTTTTGGGAGTCCCAGGAACTTAACCCCATTTTTCTCCATAAGTCCTTTAGTTTATATAACACTATTTATCTAACATGGCATTTTTTTCAGGAACATAGACTACAGTGAAACATAAGGGTCTACTGTAGTCAGAGAGGAATCTAGGAAGCATCACAGCGATATGAAAAAGACTGGAAAAACATTATCTGAAATCTAGGATCAAAAGCTGTCACAAAACAGAATGATTAACTAACTAAATATGATGAACCTCTTCCTCTACACCAACCAATACTGCCAACAAGCTTAACCCTTTCAGGGTCGAGAGCCCCTTTCATAACTTGTTCTCAGGGTCCGGGAAAAAAAAAAAAAAAAAAAAAAAATATTTTTTTCTACGCAATACAAGAATCTTTTCCCAATCATAATGACACAAAAAGTATGAAATTTGATGGAAAAAACTTACGGAATTATGCTTTCCAAAGTTAGTGTCTCGACGATGTTTAGGCATCGCAATTTCGCCCACATTGAGCCCTATAATCGCCTAATTCCAATGTACCAGACAACAAAAAATCATACCTATTTCACTAGAACCCATTTTATCCACTGAATGAGTGCAAAAAACCACCCATTCACATGATTTCACCTAACCAAATAATGTGGCCAGAAATTTTTCAATTTTGCCAATTTTCACACAAATTTCAAAAGATGCCATTTCAAAATAGGGTCCAGAATAACCAAGAACATTCTTGCACTAAATAACAGTACCTCTGCTGGTTCATTATCACGAGGTTCCCCAGGCCTCGTTACATTCATTTCTTTCCACTTGAATATTTTATTCTCACAAACAATAAGAAAGATTTTATGTTATGGCAGACTAACTGCATACGCGTAGAAAGCATTGGTAGAAATGAGGTATAAATAATAACAGCGCAACTTGTAAAGAATATTAGACTCACCAGTTGACAATTATTGGAACGCGTGCATGATTTGTTTAACTTTGAACTTGGTAAAAATTCGAACATTTCCTGCTATTTTGAGCTCATATCAAGGTACTTTCATTGTAGGAAACAATCAAAATCATCCAATTTCCAAATATGTCTTCAGTCTATAAAATGAGGAACCTAGAAAACTAGAAATACAACCATAAATAGCATACAAAAATACACTGCTAACATGTTTTAAACCAAAAAAAAATGGTCCCGAGTTTTTTTTCTCATCAGCCTGTGTGCTGCAGGATTTTTTTTTATAACTGCGCACACTAACCACAGTAGACCCATTCATTTCATAGTAGGCCTACCATCTTTCTATTGGCTAGATTTGAAGGCGCTAAGAATTTATGCGTACTAGAGCGGCACCACCCTGGCATGCAAGCCGTACTAGTACGGCACCAACTCCTGAAAGTTAAAGGAAGGGCTTGGGATATTGGCAGTCTGGACGGACGTCAAAGTGTCTTATCTGAGCACTCTCTGCAAAGACAGTGATTACGTATGAGTGATAGTGAAAAATAGTGATTGAATTATGAACAAAGATTTTTCTTCCTTTCGCGATTTTTCCTTTTTTTTTGGGTCACCCTGCTAGGTGGGAAATGGCCAAAACTAAACATAATAACCCTGAAAGTTGCAATTTTAAACTAAATATAAGCATTTTTCCCTATTATGCACAGAAAGAGGCAGAATTATTTTTAACTAAGCACACTCCACTGTACATGCTGGTCACACCATCGTAGGGCCAAAATTTACAGCTCAAAGCATATTTGAGGGCACTGTGTTTAAACTGCAGATCTACATGGAAGATAGTGAAAGGGTTTAACCTTTGAGAGTCGACAGGTCATCTCCCAAACCTGTTCTCAAGGGTCGAAAAAATTGAACAAAATTATCATATGAAATGAGTTTTTTTTTTGTGGTATTATAGCTAAAAAACATTTTGCAATCAACACTTTCGGAGATATGGAGGGCGGAAGTTGAAAGACTTTGAACCACTTACGGCAACACTGCCAACTGGCTGGTCACCTGGTAAGACATAGTATTATTTGTTTTTCTTTTCTTTATTTTTCAATCTTTATTTTTTCAAGTAACTTTTATGGCCTCTGAGACAATATAAAGACTAGTTGGAAACATTCACTCATTGTAAAACTACACACAACAGCACAAACTTTATGCTGTCATCATATTGCATACAAAACAATACACAAACCCACAATAAAAATATGTTGTTTATTACTATTTTTCTAATCAATATAAATAACACATATACAGTTACAGGACAGGTTCACTGTAACTACAAGAGGTTCTGAAAGCTTGTAGATGTGTGTGGGTAGACTATAAATATGCAGAGCCTCCTGTGTGTCTGTGTCACAAAGATGCATCATACACCACCGACTCACTAACCCCACTGCTTCCCCAACACAATCCCCTTCCTCCCAACACACCTACCTATCCTTCTTCCATTCCTTCCTTCCCTCCAACCTATCTTCCCTCTTCCTTCCTTCCCTTTCATCTCTTCCTACCTACCATCCTCTTCCTTCCTTTTCTTCAAGTAACTTTTATGGCCTGTGAGACCATATAAGGTAAATTGAATGTATATTCGCTCGTAAGCAACAAATAACCACACACAGTCATTATATTGTTTACAAAACATGTTTACACAAAACCAGCAATAAAAATATTTATTACATAATTCTATGATATATATACATAATAAAGTCCCACTAGACACTCCCCAGAACTGCAACACTAGAATTTATGTAACACTAGCACGTCAATAACCCTGGCGCGTAAGATTACATAGCACATCAAAAACCAGGAAAGGTTAAAACAAAAGATTGAGTACAAGTACAGCTTTGCTCCTCTAGTTACAAACTGGCAATCAAAATATTACAGAAAATACTAGACTCTTAAAGAATTAACTTACATGCACAATTTCTTGCCACAATGCAGTGTTATTCACATGATCGTTATTAAAGCGATACACCCTCTCTTGGTAATATTTCAAGAGCTGTCTTTCAATAGGCATAGTCCATTTTTCTGAAAAGGAAAAAATACATTAACAACTGTTTCCTATATTTATCACAAAAACAATATTCAAAGCATAATTTTTTTACAGAAAATATTGGCTATTTAACAAATGAAAGTGTTATAAAGCACAACTAGGTAGTAGGTTGGTAGACAGCAACCACCCAGGGAAGTACTACCGTCCTGCCAGATGACTGTGAAACAGAAACCTGTAACTGTTTTGCATGATGGTAGGATTGCTGGTTTCTTTTTCTGTCTCATAAACATGCTACATAACAGGGATATCTTGCTACACCTACTTACACTTTGGTCACACTTCACAGAAACGCACATGCATATACACCTACCATCCGACTTACGACCAAGCTTGGTTCCGACCAACCGGTCGTAAGTCAAAATGGACGTAAGTCGAATCTTTGAAAATTGCCAACATACTGGGTAGGGCCTAATGTCAAACTTTTCCTTTATAAACTACCTACATAGTACTGTAATGTACAATCATTATTTCATTCTTTTTACCATAATTTACTTCTATTGTTATATTTTAATTATTTATGTACTGTATATAATGTATATATGGTAGTGAACTGTATTGTAAATTTTACATCGCATACAGTATCAGGTAGTATACAGTATACAGGTAGACAGAAAGAAACACACAGGTAGACTGAAAGACACACAGGTAGACAGAAACACACACACAGGTAGACAGAAAGACACACACAGGTAGACAGAAAGACACACACAGGCAGACATAGACACAGGTAGACAGACAGATACACAGATATACAGGCAGACAGATACAGACAGGTTTATGTGCAACAGTGAAAAATAGAGAGTTCGAGAGTAAGAGCCTTTCTTGCCACAATCTCCAGTGCAAGATTCAGACTTCATCTTAGGGGCCATGGTGAAATTTACTGTCCAGTTAGTACAGTTAATACAGTATGATGCTGCTGATAGGGCAGGGTAACTCAAACTGATGCTGCCTGCATGACTCATTGCCGCCGCGAGTGTTTTCAAATATTGTACAGTGGTGTGCATCAGCCGGCCCAGCCCAGCTGCCAGATGCACAGTCATAAGTCTAGTGGACGTATGTCGAGCAGGTCGTAAGTCGGATGGTAGGTGTATATATACATACGTCTAGGTTTTTCTCTTTTTTCTAAATAGCTCTTGTTCTTCTTTACTTCTTCTATTGTCCATGGGGAAGTGGAAAAGAATCTTTCCTCCGTAAGCCATGCGTGTCGTATGAGGCGACTAAAATGCCGGAAGCGATGGGCTAGTAACCCCTTCTCCTGTAGACATTTACTAAAAAAGAGAAGAAGAAAAACTTTATAAAACTGGGATGCTTGAATGTGCGTGGATGTAGTGCAGATGACAAGAAACAGATGATTGCTGATGTTATGAATGAAAAGAAGTTGGATGTCCTGGCCCTAAGCGAAACAAAGCTGAAGGGGGTAGGGGAGTTTCAGTGGGAGGAAATAAATAGGATTAAATTTGGAGTATCTGAGAGAGTTAGAGCTAAGGAAGGGGTAGCAGTAATGTTGAAGGATCAGTTATGGAAGGAGAAAAAGAGAATATGAATGTGTAAATTCAAGAATTATGTGGATTAAAGTAAAGGTTGGATGTGAAAAGTGCTTCATAGTAAGTGTGTATGCACCTGGAGAAGAGAGGAATGTAGACGAGAGAGAGAGAGAGATTTTGGGAGATGTTAAGTGAATGTATAGGAACCTTTGAACCAAGTGAGAGAGTAATTGTGGTAGGGGACCTGAATGCTAAAGTAGGAGAAACTTTTAGAGGGGGTGTGGTAGGTAAGTTTGGGGTGCCAGGTGTAAATGATAATGGGAGCCCTTTGATTGGACTTTGTATAGACAGGGGTTTAGTTATAGGTAATACATATTTTAAGAAAAAGAGGATAAATAAGTATACAAGATATGATGTAGGGCAAAATGACAGTAGTTTGTTGGAATATGTATTGGTAGATAAAAGACTGTTGAGTAGAATTTAGGATGTACATGTTTATAGAGGGGCCACAGATATATCAGATCACTTTTTACTTGTAGCTACACTGAGAGTAAAAGGTAGATGGGATACAAGGAGAATAGAAGCATCAGGGAAGAGAGAGGTGAAGGTTTATAAACTAAAAGAGGAGGCAGTTAGGGTAAGATATAAACAGCTGTTGGAGGATAGATGGCCTAATGAAAGCATAGGCAAGGGGGTCAAAGAGGTATGGGGTAGGTTTAAAAATGTAGTGTTAGAGTGTTCAGCAGAAGTTTGTGGTTACAGGAAAGTGGGTGCGGGAGGGAAGAGGAGCGATTGGTGGAATGATGATTTAAGAGAGTAGTAAGGGAGAAAAAGTTAGCATATGAGAAGTTTTTACAAAGTAGAAGTGATGCAAGGAGGGAAGAGTATATGGAGAAAAAGAAAGAGGTTAAGAGAGTGGTGAAGCAATGTTAAACGAGAGCAAATGAGAGAGTGGGTGAGATGTTATCAACAAATTTTGTTGAAAATAAGAAAAAGTTTTGGAGTGAGATTAACAAGTTAAGGAAGCCTACAGAACAAATGGATTTGTCAGTTAAAAATAGGAGAGGAGAGTTATTAAATGGAGAGTTAGAGGTATTGGAAGATGGAGGGAATATTTTGAGGAATTGTTAAATGTTGATGAAGATAGGGAAGCTGTGATTTCGTGTATAGGGCAAGGAGGAATAACATCTTGTAGGAGTGAGGAAGAGCCAGTTGTGAGTGTGGGGGAAGTTCGTCAGGCAGTAGGTAAAATGAAAGAGGGTAAGGCAGCCGGGATTGATGGGATAAAGATAGAAATGTTAAAAGGAGGTGGGGATATAGTTTTGGAGTGGTTGGTGCAATTATTTAATAAATGTATGGAAGAGGGTAAGGTACCTAGGGATTGGCAGAGAGCATGCATGGTTCCTTTGTATAAAGGCAAAGGGGGCAAAGGGGACAAAAGAGAGTGCAAAAATTATAGGGGGATAAGTCTGTTGAGTATACCTGGTAAAGTGTATGGTAGAGTTATTATTGAAAGAATTAAGAGTAAGACGGAAAATAGGATAGCAGATGAACAAGGAGGCTTTAGGAAAGGTAGGGGGTGTGTGGACCAGGTATTTACAGTGAAACATATAACTGAACAGTATTTAGATAAGGCTAAAGAGGTTTTGTTGCATTTATGGATTTGGAAAAGGCGTATGACAGGGTGGATAGGGGGGCAATGTGGCAGATGTTGCAGGTGTATGGTGTAGGAGGTAGGTTACTGAAAGCAGTGAAGAGTTTTTACGAGGATAGTGAGGCTCAAGTTAGAGTATGTAGGAAAGAGGGAGATTATTTCCCCAGTAAAAGTAGGCTTTAGACAAGGATGTGTGATGTCACCGTGGTTGTTTAATATATTTATAGATGGGGTTGTAAGAGAAGTAAATGCGAGGGTCTTCGCAAGAGGCATGGAGTTAAAGATAAAGAATCACACAAAGTGGGAGTTGTCACAGTTGCTCTTTGCTGATGACACTGTGCTCTTGGGAGATTCTGAAGAGAAGTTGCAGAGATTGGTGGATGAATTTGGTAGGGTATGCAAAAGAAGAAAATTAAAAGTGAATACAAGAAAGAGTAAGGTTATGAGGATAACGAAAAGATTAGGTGATGAAAGACTGGATATCAGATTGGAGGGAGAGAGTATGGAGGAGGTGAATGTATTCAGATATTTGGGAGTGGACATGCCAGCGGATGGGTCTATGAAAGATGAGGTGAATCATAGAATGGATGAGGGGAAAAGGGTGAGCAGTGCACTTAAGAGTCTGTAGAGACAAAGAACTTTGTCCTTGGAGGCAAAGAGAGGAATGTATGAGAGTATAGTTTTACCAACACTCTTATATGGGTGTGAAGCATGGGTGATGAATGTTGCAGCGAGGAGAAGGCTGGAGGCAGTGCAGATGTCATGTCTGAGGGCAATATGTGGTGTGTATATACTCCAGAGAATTCGTAGTTTGGAAGTTAGGAGGAGGTGCGGGATTACCAAAACTGTTGTCCAAAGGGCTGAGGAAGGGTTGTTGAGGTGGTTCGGACATGTAGAGAGAATGGAGCGAAACAGAATGACTTCAAGAGTTTATCAGTCTGTAGTGGAAGGAAGGTGGGGTAGGGGTCGGCCTAGGAAAGGTTAGAGGGAGGGGGTAAAGGAGGTTTTGTGTGCGAGGGGGTTGGACTTCCAGCAGGCGTGCGTGAGCGTGTTTGATAGGAGTGAATGGAGACAAATGGTTTTTAATGCTTGACGTGCTGTTGGAGTGTGAGCAAAGTAAGATTTATGAAGGGGTTCATGGAAACCGGCAGGCCGGACTTGAGTCCTGGAGATGGGAAGTACAGTGCCTGCACTCTGAAGGAGGGGTGTTAATGTTGCAGTTTAAAAACTGTAGTGTAAAGCACCCTTCTGGCAAGACAGTGATGGAGTGAACGATGGTGAAAGTTTTTCTTTTTCGGGCCACCCTGCCTTGGTGGGAATTGGCCAGTTTGTTAATAATAATAAAAAAAAATAAAGCACAATTTTTCCTGAGTCCAACATGGGTGGAAGTAGGTAATACAGTGGAACCTCGACTTAAGAGTGCCCCAACATACGATTTTTTCAAGATACAAGCCTTCGCTTGGTTGATTTTTTGCTCTGAGTTAAGAGCAAAATCCGACTTACGAGCCAAAATCCGAGTTATGAGCAAGCTTCCCCCTCAACCCACAACCCTCACACCTCTCTTATGTTTATCTCAGATTTCATGCTTTAATTCCATAAGCATCAACCTCTTTTTCTTCTCAGCATTGTCCTATGCACTTACTTACTGTTAACATATATACTGAGTCACCGGCCTAATTACTGTCACAATGACAAATAACACCACCACTCACCACCATCACTGCCTGTCAACACCCATCCCTTCCTCCCCACCCCACCAACCCACATGGAAATAAGTCACTGTCTGAATTTTTTGAGTTATCCTAGGTTGATGGTCTCCTTCCTTACTTCCCTATTT